CCTCATGGACCGTGCGTTCCTTAGAGTATCAGCCAAGCCTCATTGTCCCAGTTTGTGCAGGAAGGAGCCTTTGGGGATCCAGAGGACGCAAGCAGCCGGACCTCTTTGGGTGGTGGTGGTGGGGGTCATGTGCTGTCTTGCTCCCTTATGGAAACTTCCTAAAGCCTCCCCCCTCACCCCCTGGTCCCTCTTCTGCCCTTCAAGGGGGGGCTTTGAAAAAGAAGGGTGGAAAGCAATGCCCTGGACGTTTTCAGAAGTGGGTGCTTTTCCCACTCAGAGGCTGGAGGGGAGGCAGGGGCCTCCGAGAACGGGTCTCCAGAACCGCCCCCCCCGGGGTGTGCCTGCTTGGGTGCTGGGCCTCTAGAGGGTGGCCCAGAGAGCAGAACTGGAGGGGGTGGTTCACGGGGCCGGATGGGACCCCTCGCGGAGGAATTGGAAGCAACCCTTGGAGCAGGGCCTTGGATTGTCACCCTGGGGGCGGGAGCAGCAGGTGAGGTCTTCACCTAAGCCCCCCCCACCCCCCCACCGCCATTGTTGCTTGAAGCCAAAGGGCTCCCAGGGGTTTGCAGTGCTTGGTCAGTTGCCAAGACGCAAGCTCTGGAGCCTGGGTTTTTTGTCCTCCTGCCCCCCCTTCCAAGAAAGCCTCCTCTGTCCAGGGAACGGCCAGGTGGAGGCGGTTGGGAGGAGGATCTCTCCTTCCCCCCCCCAATAGCTGTGGCCAGGGGGATTCCCCTCTTGACCGGTGGCCTGCCTCCCTCCCTCTTGTGCAGATGGAGAGGTACCCGGACGCCTTTGTATTTGTTTTTTTTTTTATTTTTTTTTGTAAAAAAAAAAATTAAAAAAAAATTAAAAAAAAAAAAGAACTGGAGGGGGTTGTTCACGGGGCCGGATGGGACCCCTCGTGGAGGAATTGGAAGCAACACTTGGAGCAGGGCCTTGGATTGTCACCCTGGGGGCGGGAGCAGCAGGTGAGGTCTTCCCTTAAGCCCCCCCCACCCCCCCACTGCCCTTGTTGCTTGAAGCCAAAGGGCTCCCAGGGGTTTGCGGTGCTTGGTCAGTTGCCAAGACGCAAGCTCTGGAGCCTGGGTTTTTTGCCCTCCTGCCCCCCCTTCCAAGAAAGCCTCCTCTGTCCAGGGAACGGCCAGGTGGAGGCGGTTGGGAGGAGGATCTCTCCTTCCCCCCCCCAATAGCTGTGGCCAGGGGGATTCCCCTCTTGACCGGTGGCCTGCCTCCCTCCCTCTTGTGCAGATGCAGAGTTACCCGGACACCTTCAGCCGCTTAGTGGCCACCAACCTCTTCTACTTCAAGAGTGGCTGGCCGGACATCCGAGCGGCTGCCCCCATGTTTGTTGGTGAGAGGGGTGAGAGGGCGCTTGGGGTCCCCTGGCAGGTTTGCTTTGGCCCTTGGCCTAAGCTGCCCCCCCCGAGTCTGCCTGGTGCCTCTGGCACGGTGCTGGCATTGCCTTGGCCGGGCTCACAGGTGTGTGTGTGTGTGGGGGGCAGTGGTGGCTCTGAGCTGCGTGGGCTTCCCTTCCAGGCTTCCTGGTCCTTCACGTGGACAAAGCGCACAGCCAGCAGCTGGACCTGGACGCGCTGATTGCCGGTGAGCAACTGGAGGGGTGGGGTTGGGTCTCCTCTTGTGTTGCTGCAGAGTTGTCCTTGATGAGGGCTGGGGCTTGGGGTGTTGCTTGGGAGCAGGGGGAGCACACACACACCCCATCTGTGCTGAGAAAAGGAGTCTTCTCAAGATCTCTGCCACCCAGGCCTGACATCTCCCTGGATGGAGGCAGGCAGAAAAGGTGTCCAGTGGATTGGGGCAGCGTGTTCTTTTTTCCTTCCCTGGGGGGTCGGAGGTGAGCCCCTGGCCTGCTTCCAGCTCTCCTAGGCAGAGATGCGGAGTATTGAAGCGGGGCGGGTGGGTGGCTGGGTGGATTCTGAGCAGGAATGGCGAGGGAGCTGGGGGTCCCCGTTCTCCCCCCCCCCGGCCCAGGATCCTTTCCTCCCAGCCTCCCTTGCCCGCCTGTGGGAGTGGTGGGTTCCTTAATGTGGGGAGAGAGAACGGGGGGCGGGGGGGCGGAGGGAGGCCTGGCTGGCTGGCCCAAGGACGGTCCCGGGCACAGGTTCCCGCTCTAGCCTGCTGGATCTGCCACTCAAAGGGAGTCTGCAGGGAAGCCAGCTCGGTTCCACGAACTTTCCTGGATTCGGCGGCTGTTTTTCCTTGTCAGCAGTGAGCTCATCGCTTAGAGTGAGGCTCGGAAAATCTCTGAGCTTTCCAACAGAGCTTAAAAACCACTAAAAAAGGGAAAACTATCTTTCCGTTGGCGGGCGGAGCGGCTCTGAAGAGAGGCCCGTCTGTTTGCAGTGGTGGGGGGCCCGTTGGAGGTGGGGGAGCGGCGAGGGCTCCGGATGGGGTCACCGCAGCTTCCCGTATTGAGCACCGCCGAGGCGCGCTTGGACTGCCCGCTTGCCGGCCACGGAGGCCTGTGGGGGGAGGAGGAGGCGGGGAGGTGTGTGTGTGTGTGTGTGGGGGGGAATGCTGCAGCTGGCTCAGGGCTGATCGGCGGGAAGCGGCTCGGCCCATAAATCAGGACGTCTTGCTCGCTCTGGAGGGACGCAAGAGTCTCGGATTTGCAGTGTAAACATGCTACTGGAAAAATATTATTGTATCTCTGCTGCTCCGGAGGAACTCTGGCCCCCTCCCTCCCTCCCTCGTCCTCCTCCTCTTCCCAGCTGGGGCTGTGCCAGCCATCCTCCGATGGAGTGGAGAAGCCCTGCGCCCGCTTCTTCTCCCCCCCCCTCCGGCCATGCCCCAGAGCTGCTCATGCCACCTGCCGCCTCTCCAGGTGACGGGCATACTCTCTGGGCAGGGTAGGAGAACTCTGTTGCTCTGCCAAGGGACTCCCCTGTGCAAGTGGGGCTGATATGGGGGGGGGACAGAAAAAGAGGGTTCTCTGGATGCCGACCGTCCCTTTCCTCCTGGCCGGCTGACGGACTCCCGTGCCCTTCCTTCCTCCCCAGCCCTCTCGGTGCTGCTGAAGGATCCGGTGACGGCAGTGCGCGTGAAGGTGGCTGAGACCCTGGGCCGCCTGGTCAGGATTGTTTGAGGCTCGAGTTGGGACTTGCGAAGCAACATGGACGCTTTTTCTCTGCCTGCTCTGCCTCCCATCAGCCCCCGGGGCACGCACCTACCTCTGCAGAGGGCACGGCACGTCTTCCACACCACCCCAAGCGCACCTGGAGCCACACACACGCGCACGCACACAGACACACACCCTCCCCATTTGCAAAGGGAAGGCCCCTGGGCTGGAGATGCAGCTGCCCTTTTCTGGGGCAGAGGTTTGCGTGTCTCCTCCAGGAGCACACGGGGGGGGGAACACTTTTCCGTGGGCCTTCTGGTCCAGGCCACAGGCGGGTTCGTGGGCAGCTGCGTCGCCCCTCTCCCCCGCCCCTGCCCTAGAGCGGCCCGCACCCACTCTTGCCTCTACCCAACCAGCACCTTTAGTTTTTCTCCAACAGGCACCCAGCTTCTGCTCTCCGGCGCACCCCAACCGGGTGCCCTGCCCCAGAGTGGGACTTGGGGAGTGGGATCCAGAATGGGGTCCTTGGGCACCAGGAATTAGCATGACCCCCCCACCCCAACCCACCCTCACCGCTGCACTCACACCCTTTCCCCACCACCTGGGGCAGATGGGGATGTCCAATGGCTCCGGCCCCTTCTCAGCGGCTCCTTCGTTGTTCTTCCCTGTAGGAATGTGTACATACAACCAGACAACTTATTTTTTAAATAAATGATTTTGGCTTCTCAGAGTGTCCCCTCCTTTTCTCCCCTGGTGGGGGTGGGGGGCTGGAAGCCTCAGGGCCTGGGAAATGAATGGCTAGCTGGGGTCACCCCTTCCAGCCTCAGCCCAGACCAAACACCCCCTGAGCTCTGGAGGGCCTTTTCATCCGACTCCCCAACTCCAGACCTACATGGGGAGGGGGGGGAAGACTTATGGAAAGGGCAGAAAGGCAGCCCCAGCAAAAAAAGGGGTGTGTGTGAAATCTTCTGGCCTGCTGTGGGGTGCTGCCTGGTCTCTAGGCAGGCAGCACTTGGGCCAGTTTTAACCCAACATCCTCCCCCCCCGAACTCCCCTCCCAGCTATAGATGCTTCAATATGGACCTTCCCTTGGCAGCCACTTGGATCACGCAAATGACTGGCATGGCAGGCGATGCCTCCTCTTTCCTCCCCTCCCCCCAGTGCTGAATGGCCACTCCCGCACCTTTCTTGGTGTGAGCCCGGAGGGCCAGAGGGTCAGCGAGCGAGACGGCCACATCCTTTTCCTGCCCTGCCGAATATATGTGGCTTCTTGAAAACTTGATGCCCCCCCCCTTGCTTTCCTCTCCTCTCCTCCAGGGGGAACCACCCCAGCCC